TCCCCCATATATGCTGTAAACCAAATTTGGTTGAAATTGGTTCAGTGGTTTCAGAGAAGAAGCTGAAAATGTTCAAATGTAAACACAAGACACAAGACAACGGATAAAATAAATGGCAATAGGTCACCGGGTGACTCAGGTGACCTAAAAAGGTGACACACCAGTGACACCACACAAATGACCATAGCATTAGCTTCTTGGTTTTTACTTAGACAAGGTGAAAATGCTTTTATCATGTTCAAAGTTTTTTATCAACAATGCTATCTATTCCTCTCCAGTAGAATGTTCCTTCCCATCTACTGGTTGTGTTTTCTTTTCTCCACTTTCTCTAGATTCTATTTAATTTTAACAAATTACAAATATCGTATAAGAAGAATTTTTACCGAGGATTCAATTTTGGCATTATTAGCAAGCATTGTGAGATCGTCAAAATTGATTATCACTAAACATTAATTTTGATTTATTTGTAATTGCTTAATTTGTAAAATAATTTCTCACTAAAAATAATTTAAGGACAAATTGATAAATTTGTGTCTTGCTAAAATTCCCACTAATATGATACATGTATATAAATATTTTTATTAGACTATCACATGTATCATTTTCAATAAATGGTATCAAAAGTCATGCATATACAAACATCAATCATCAAATGAATAATATATACCCATGTAAATCTTTGATTTTTCATATCAAACTTTCAGGCTAATTGGTTTTTAAGTGAAGTTTTTTTTTAAGACCTCACCTAATCTGCATTAAATCTTAAGTATTGCTCCTTGATAGAACCCGTACGAAACAGTCCGAGCGGCTTGGACACAGCTCAGGCATGGATTCTGTCTCCAGAAACCCGTGCTTTAGCATTCCGTGCTCCTATGTAAAGTATGTATGGAAAGCCGTGCCTAAAAGTGGTCGAGGCACGGACACGGCACGGGATATTGGCCGAAATATTTAAATGAGATGGCACGGTTTTACAAAACATGTGTCAGAAAGCCGTACTAGTTTCCATATATGGACTCACGGATTCTGTAAACCCGTGTCTGAAACCCGTGTCCCTTTCCATATATGGAAACACAGTTTTTTGGAAACCCGTGTCAAAAAAGCCGTGCCGTAAACCATATATGGAGTCACGGGATCTGTGCATATGTTTAGATCTAGGTATTGCTTTTAGAGAATCTCATGATGTAACTGTGGATGCCAAAATGGTGACTGAAACCAAACTAACTTCACTTTGCTTTACCTTAATGCTTAGGTTTAGAATTTCAAAAGTTAAAAATGTTAAATGAATGTGTTTACTTTCTGTTAAAGATTAACTTTATCAGTTACAATCCATGCTAGTTTTTAATTAAGATTTAATGATAATGTACAATATTCAATTGTAATTTAATCTAGTAGCTAAGTTTGCACAATCTGAGAAAGAATTTAAATAAATAAAACTTTCACCTAAGCACAGTGATGTCACATATAATATACTATAAATGGTTAGTGAAAGTCCAACTAAAGTCGTTCAAATAAACCTAAACTATTTCATCATGTTCATTGTCAACATCGCAATACAGAAAGATCCTGAAAATTAAAAAATTGACTTATTTATTCTATATTACACTTACTGCATTTAGTTCAAAAGTGAAGAAATTATCCCAGACTGACATAAATACAACTCCAACTGACATCTATTAGTTAAATATCCTTTAAATAGAGCAAAAAGACACATTGACTTAGCTCATGACCATGAATCCCTCCAATTTAATATTCAAATAAAGGAAGTTATGATTGAGCATGCTCAGTAAAAAGCCGTGAGATATAAATAAATAGTTTGAAGCAAAACCCGTCTGAGTTAAAAACCGTCTCCCTGGGACACGGATTCCGTGCCTCCACACGGGTTTCTGTGAGTAAGGATTCCTCACTTTCAGAAATGGAAGCCGTGTCTGTGTCTTGGACATGCAGAACCCGTGCGTCTTTTTAAAAACCCGTGCGGATTCTGTGTCTTAGCCGTGCCCAAGCTGTGCCTATTCCGCCTCGAACTTTTGTACGGGAAGGTTTGCCATTCATTTGAAAAGAATTTCAATTTTGAATACCTTTTACACAAGGATTCTCTGTGACAAGTTTGGTAAAAATTGGTCCAGTTGTTCTGAAAAGTTTACAGTAATGACACATGGCCAACAACAGACAGCATAAAAATTTCGATCAGGGAAGTTCAAATGAACCTATCCTCCAATCAAGCATCACAATATTTACCTGTTTTTCCATTTTATGTCATGAGTTTTCCATTCTCTTCTGTTTCTAAAATATTTTAATAATTAAGAATGTGTAAGAAAATCTAGCATCAGGTTTGAAATCTTATGTTGAGTAAATCATTAATTCTTTAAAAATTGAAGGAAGTTTACTATAAAATGCATGCTTACTAGTAACCAATATGAAATATAACTAAATGCATTAAATTGCATATTAGATGAAGGTGTTTGGAATTAAGCTGATGCCTTTTGGATATTAAGTGAAAAAACTTAGGAGGGGGAGGGTATATGAGATTATATGTAAAATAAATAATCAAATATAAATGCATACTTACCTTTTACAGTAAGGTTTTGCTTTTTAGATTTCGCTTTACGTCTTTTCAGTACAAAAATTACAACAGTGGTTCCAACTAACAAGACCAGAATGACTCCAATAGTGATTCCAATAATAGGTCCCAAGGTCATATCTTTATCATCTTCCATATTTGACCTTTAAATGAAGGGAACAAAAGAGCAAACATATTAAATCATATGGTACACTCTCATAAAGAATAAGTATACATTGCATACCTCATCACTTTAATCATAACTATCAATTAACACTAATAATTGATTTTATAAAATAATTGAATAAGGGCCTGAGTTTCAAATAAAAAATGGCTAAACAAATATATTTTTTTTTCTTCAAGATATATGAATAAAGTCATAAATATCATTAACAGAATTTTTTAATACACTATATTATCATAATTAGATAAATTATAAATTAATCAAAGTGTCTGCAGATAAATTTTCTATGATTGGTGATGATTATTATAAATAACAGGCTTAGATACCAAAGGAAGGATAACTCTTTGAAGGATGAAACTTCTAAAATTGAAGCAGTGTCTGACAGAGTTATCTCTCTTTGCATACAAGAGAAAAACAGGAGAAAAACGGTGAATGTATTAGAAATAGAGCAGAATGTTTTTCCTAGCACTGAGAAAAACAAACAAAAGGACTCGGCACAAGTATAAAAGTGACACTTGTTAACTCACTCTTCAGTCATGGACATATTTTGAGTTGGTACATATGTGTCAGAGGTAGGGATAGAGGGTACTGTAGTCATGGTAGTTTGATTTTGTACTGTGGATTTCTTTGTCAGTTCATAGCAACCAGGGTCTGAAAAACAAGATCATGATAACAATTTTGTTTACAAGTATATTATTCAATGACATATACATGTAATTATAATCTCTGTTTACTATCAATTTACATGTAAGTTATCTATAAAGATATAATGTAGTGTGTATACAAATATATACTTAAGAATGTCAAATTTATCAAATTTAACTGATAAAAAAAATTGAATTAATCACTGGCAAGGTGCTCTAACATAAACCGATTGTGGTGATCAATATATTAAAGGGTAAAAGCTGTAAGTTACTTTATATTGCACTTTCTCTTTCTTTATATCAATTTTTTTTTTTTAGCTTTTTTTCAAATATCTATGATTTGACTTCATGATATACAACATGTACAAGTAGACACAATGTAGGTTAAGTGTATACTACATGCAAGTATTTAAATTGAAACTTGATTATGACCTATTCAGGTATGGTTGAAGTGTCAATGCAAATATTACATCTGTTTAATTAAACTGTGACAAAGACACCCCCTTCATGTTTTTTTTTTATTATTATTATTATTCAGCAAAATTAATTTAAGTTTACAGAATAAATATATACCCAATAAAATTGTGTATTTTATTGAACACTTACATTTGTATGCTTCTGTGGAGTGGTAACCACTGGGACATGGATTCTGGGTAAATTTAGAACAGTCTGTGTCATAATTCTGCTGGATGATGTTGCCACTCAAGCTGTACTCCGTACAATAACCTGTAAATATATTGTCAAAATTAGAAGCCTGTGCATATAGCTAATGATATACATGTACAATATTGTGTCTCAATATCAGATCAATATAATATTATGTTGACTTCCTTTATGAAACTTTAAGATACAATGTATAGGGTACCGAATAATTTTTTTCATCATCATTTCCAAGCTTATTTAAGGAAAAAAATTAAAACCCCATTATTTTCATAAATTAAAAAACACAAGAAGTCTGTGAGCCAAAGTTTAAATTTAAGCAATGACCCCGCTCTGATGTAATAACCATATGTCCTCTTCAGTTTTGTAAATATTTTGGTTTGGACAGATGCAGGGATGAACAAAAAATTGACATCGTATTGGTTAAAAAAAAAATGAAATCCATCATATTACATAATTATGAAAAACAAACAGTATATTTATATAGATTTCAAGCATCCGTGATATGTAAAGTTGTTAAGTAAACTGTGACTGAGATTTGGTACAGACAGACACATGGATAAACAGATAGGAGGTAAGCATCTGATTTGTGCAGTAATTAATCTCAACATATGACATGAACAAACAAAAACTGAATTAATTAAGTGCAAAAATTTCATTTAACATCTGGGAAAAATTACTCACTGTGACATATTACAGAGAGACTGACAAAGAGAGAGGTAAAACTGTTTAACCTGGGCCTTTCCTACTGAACAAGGGTATAAAAAAATAAGAAGAAAAAACATGCACAGCTGATTTACACAGCTTTAATTGTCTCTCTTTACCCACCCCCCCCCCCCCCCACCCCTGAAATGTCATGATATGCCTTTTTTGACCATGTTTGATAAATATTTTAAGCAAAATCTTATGAATATTCAGAGTAAGAGTAAAAAATACTAGTATCTAAGTGTGGACATTGTCAGACCCTCCTAAACCCTTTATAGCCCGTACACCCCCATCCCCACCCCTTCCCAACACCAACACAAACATAAAGAATATGTGGAAAATATAAAAATTACACAATTTGGTGTGATACACACATGGTGCTATGTACATATTCTTAATTTGAAATTGATAATTTGCTTGGATATCTAAATGGTGAAAAAATTAAATACATGAATGTTTTTGAACAATTTATAATATTTAATTTGTGGTATGAAGTTTAATTATGTCAATGCCTTCAAATTTTAAAACTCTTCATTTTAATTGAGCAAGGGCCCCATTGCTCACCTAAGAACTGTGGCTAGGCAAAACTCAAATTGTGATCAGAAAAGCTCATGAGTTTTCAGTTCAGATGAACTAAAAAACTTCAAATTATTTTTCTTTTTAATCTGAGACACAATCTAACAGGTGCTAGATAGCTTAAGCATTACTATGAAGGAATCTTAGACCCTGTGCTAGTTAACTGAAAATTGATTTTCTATATAATGCACATTTGATTGATTTCAGCAAGAAAAATTGCACTCAACACAGTCTCTCCATTATCTACTTTTAAATATACACTTGATAAATTTCTTTTCAAAGTGTTTATTTTTCCATTTTTCAAAAGACCCCCACTTCAACATGTGCACGAGTTTATTATGCATTGCACTATGGTCTATATTACCTATCATTTAAATGTCCTAGTGTCCTTATTATATTTAATAAAATGTTTACCGAATTTGGATTTTACCTCTGCATGGTACTTAGAAGTGTCTTAAATATACATAATTATACTTTCTTTTAACCCTCCAAAGAAGGATGTGTATAGAAATAGGGCCCGGGTTTTCAGTGCCTTTCAGCAATGAATTTGTAAGGTAGCTGAAAAGGGTTTATTTTGATGAGGAACACTTATGTACTACTAAGGGATGTGTTGTTTGAGTCTTAAAGGGGAAAAAGTAACTACTCCCTGAAAAAATTATAAAATCAAACAAGAGGCCCAGGGGCCACAGCGCTCATCTTAGCACATCGGCTAGGAAAAAAAGCACTTAATTATCAAATCAGACCTGAAAGTTTACCAAGGTAAAGTTGGGGGGGGGGGGGGGGGGGGGGGGGGGCTTGATTTGAACAAACTTGAATCTTCACTACCTGAGGATGATATCACATGAGTTTCAACTTTCCTGGCCCGGTGGTTCTTGAGAATAAGATTTTAAAAAAATTTTCCTATATATTCCTAATTCCTATGTAAAAATTTGGTTGGCCATTTTGGCCCCACCCTACCCCCGGGGGTCATGATTTGAACAAACTTGAATCTACACTACCTGAGGATGATACCACATGAGTCTCAATTTTCCTGGCCCAGTGGTTCTTGAGAAGAAGATTTTTAAAACATACCATCAAATTTTCACTATTTCTGAATTATCTCCCCTTGAATAAGAGAATGGCCCTTCAATTGAACAAACTTGAATCCCCTTTACCTAATGATACTTTGTGTCATGTTTGATTGAAATTGGCCCAGTGGTTCTTGAGAAGAAGTCGAAAATGTGAAAAGTTAATGACGACAACGACAACAATGACAGAAGACAGACAAATTTTGATCAGAAAAGCTCACTTAAGCCTTCGGGTCAGGTGAGCTAAAAAATTAATAAAAGTTTTTGTATGATGAAAGGGAAAACCAAAAAAAAGAATGATGCACAAATTGTGAATACTCCTTGTCCTCTATCAAAAATAGCACAAAAATAAAAATTTTTGAATATATGCTTTTATGACAATTGTTGCATATCCTGTATCAAAAATTGGAAGGAAAATCACAAATGTTTCGTACCCTAAGTCAATTGGTCAAGTTTTAGGCTGTCTGGACTTAAAGGAAAGAAATTATGTGCTGAAACAAGGATTTTATTATTTTAAACAGCGATGCTATCTTTGACCTCTACTCTTGATCTAGAAACTTTATTCAAGGTCACTATACACCCATTGGCTAGTGGCACTCTGTGGGTGAAGTATGAGCCATGTTGGACCAAGGGGAGAGATCATATGTTCTGGACAAGGAGTTTTCATATAATTCTGCGATGACCTTAACCTTACACTTGAAAACATAGTACAATGTCATTGCACACTTTTACCCCAAAACACTCTTTGGTAAGTTAGTAAGCAAGAATGGGCCAAAGAGAGACAATATATGTTGCAAACAAGCGATCTCAGACAGACAGAAGAAGGACAGATGGATGAATGGACAGAAGGAAAGACAGACAGACTGAACACTTGAGGGCACCCACAGAGCAAGTCCCTAATTATCCTCTAACTTCTATTGAAAATTACTGTTAATTAATGTGAATTACTCTTCAACTTGACTTATTTTTAATTAAGTTTATGTTTCTTGATTTGCTTTAATCAATTTCATTTTGCCACATATATCATGTATATGTGCAAAATAAGGAATTAAAAAATAAACATACTCCACATACAGTACCTAAAACAATGTACTTTCCATAGGCACAAACTTCCAGTGTCTGATTCACAAAAGGATTGATCACACAATGGTACACAAGTTTGTCAGGATAGCTGCACTGACTGGCAAAAGCTGAACAGTTCTTTCTTTGAGAAGCTTTTCTCCATTCTGATTCACTGGTTGGACAGTTTGGAACAATACTCATAGTTTGTCTTGATACTGGACAGGCATCACTGCTACATTTCACCTCCTATTAATAAAAAAAAATTTTTTTTTTTTTTTGACAAAAAGGAGTACACTATTCAAAATGAGTATTCAGTTATGAATTACATATTCATTTTTTAAAATCAATTTATTTTTTAGGCATTACTTATAAAAATGTGTATATCTAGAACAGTAACATTTTGCATGCAGATACAGAATGAATACTGTATACAGGGAAATTTTCGCCCCCGTATTATTTTTGCCCCTTTCGCCCTCTTCTTGATTGGGCGAATTTAAAATGGGGTGAATTAAAATTATACAGAATAATTTCTTAAACAGAACTATGACTGGGCGAATTTAAAATGGAGCAAAATTGTTCTCAAGTGCAAAAGGGCGAAAATAACAGGGGGCAAATATAACCCTGTATACAGTGCGTAAATACATTTATGATAATAAATAAATAGAATTTTTCAAACCATCTTGATCTTAAATGTTTCTTGTTAATACATTTGAAAATGTTAACATTGATTAATAGCTAGATTAATGCCTATGAAAACAATCAAGACATGTCAAGCAAAATTTACTTGAGGTCTGCATATATACACATGCTTTTCCTCAATATACTTTTGATATGTCACGGTACAAGTAAGATGCCACAAGACATTTAATGTAACTTTGCATGCACTCTATATTCTTTTAGGTGTTTGGGATTGGGAATAAGGGATAAATAATTATACATGTACATGTATACATGTCTGTTACATGTAGTGATTTACCAGTATATAGAAAGACTCCAAAGAACATACCATGGACATTTACTTCCTTTTTTCTGTCAATTTTAAATTAGTACATTTAGTAAAAAACATTGTATATATGAAAACAGATAAAATACAAACTATTAACAAATCTTACTAAAATTTGAATTCATATTACAGAACAGAATGACATGTATAGAAAACAAGAGGCCCAGGGGCCACATCGCTTACCTAAGCAACTGGCCTGGCTAGGTAAAAGCAAAAATCATTTCTGGATCAGTATTGAAAAGTTTAAACATATTCCTAAGAATGCTTTTTAAATTAATATGAACCATAATTGCTTTGCTGTTTTTACCATGATTACTTTTTTTGATGATTTTAAATTGATAATCAATTGTAGATTTGTGAAGAAATTTAACAATTATAATGAATTTCCCCATGTATTCTTACGTAAGACCTTAACCACCTATTGTGGCAATACTCTACCCCTGAGGGTCATGATTTGAACAAACTTGAATCTACACTGCCAGAGGCTCTGATGCTTCCATTTAACTTAAACCATGACCAATCATGGCTTCAATGTTCTTGAGAAAAAGATTTTTAAAGATTTTTTCTAGTATGTATTCATTTGTTAAACTATCCAATTGTAGCCCCATCCTCCATGAGTAGAATATATTTTTTAATGCCATTATTTTTCTAATCATTCATATTAATCATCTCCCTTGGAAGAGGGCATAGCCCTTCATTTGAACAAGCTTGAATCCCCTTTACTCAAGGATGTGGTTATTTTAAGTTTCCTTAAAATTTGCCCAGTGGTTCTTGAACAGAAGATGAAAATGTAAAAAAGTTTACGACAACAACAATGCCGACAACAACGATCATACCAACTACAATGACAGACAACATTCAAAACAATTTTGATCAAAAAAGCTCATTTAATCAGGTGAGCTAAAAATTAAAAGGGCACATCATCAATGTCTCAAGATATACCCCCTAAGTGACAATACTTTCATCTTGACATGTTTTATCTACTCCTTGAATTAAATCTTTAATAGCGTAGATAAGAGCTGATGTAATTTAATCAAACGTACCCTTTGTAATTGATATGCAATGTTTATCGTGGATAGACATGCTTATGTCATTATTGTAATCCAATTCCAATATTATAAAACACATAATAATTAAAACATCTAGTATTATATAAAGAATTTTCTGAATTTTTTACATGCTTTGAAAGGGAATTCAAGTATAGTCATATACGTTTACAAGAATCTGTGTATACTTTATACCGCAATGTTACATCATAGACTGTAAACTAATATTCAAAATAAGGATTTTTTAAACATGTTTAACAAGAATAGACACTGAAAATAAAGTAGGTAGTTTTAAGAAGGCCAAAAATAGGAAAATAAACTCCAAAGAATTATTGACATTTTCCCCCATTCTAAAAATATAGCTCTGTTGCTTTCATGATTTAACCTAAAAGTGATTTTAATCTAAAAGAATTAGACTTGATTATCTAGACTAAGTGCATATTTGTAAACAAGATTAAAATATGTTAATGAATCATGATCAAACAAATCAGGTACGTCATATAAGTATACATTACACACAACACAGCAAAATATGCCTCAATCTATATATAGTTAAGTGACAAGAAATTATTTCAGATCAATGGCTAAGTACAAATGTATATATGTCTATGATAATATATAGATATCAATTAACAATCAACAGGTCTGGGGCATTTAAGAAGTGATAGCTATATATAAGTCATAATATGAAGTGTGTATATCCCATACCAAAAAAAGGTACAGATTAGGCATGCCTATTCTTGATAAATATAGGCACAAAAAAGGTATACCTAAAGTATACAAGTTTGGAACCACTTCTTCAAGTATAGGTAGCAAATTGGTACAAAAAAGGCATACTAAAGGTATACTTTTCAATGATTCATTTTTTTCTATTTCACATATAGGTACATTTTAGGCACACATAAAACATTCGATTGAGCAGTGAGGCATACCTAAAGTATGCCTATACATAGTATGGCATATAATTCTAACAGTCAGATAGGTACATTTTAGGTATACCTAAAAGGTGCCTACATATCAATCTATTAGGTACCTTCAAGGCTGTGCCAAAAGTATGCCAGAGGTATACCAAAAGTATACCTACAAGGTACCTATATTGTACCAAAAGCATTAATAGGCACATTTTAGGTACTAAAAAAGCACAATATTGGCACATCATCTAACTATACCAGTAGGTACATTCCAGGCATACCTAAAAAGTGCCTACATATCAATCTATTAGGTACCTTCAAGGCTGTGCCAAAAGTATGCCAGAGGTATACCAAAAGTATACCTACAAGGTACCTATATTGTACCAAAAGCATTAATAGGCACATTTTAGGTACTAAAAAAGCACAATATTGGCACACCATCTAACTAGACCAGTAGGTACATTCCAGGCATACCTAAAAAGTGCCCACAGATCAATCTATTAGGTACCTTCAAGGCTGTGCCAAAAGTATGCCAGAGGTATACCAAAAGTATACCTACAAGGAACCTATATTGTACCAAAATCATTAATAGGCACATTTTAGGTACTAAAAAAAGCACAATATTGGCACACCGCATAACTAAACAAAAAGGTACATTTTAGGCATATCAAAAAATGGGCTTTTGTCGACAAATCAACCACAAAACCCTGGAGTTAAAAATTTCTTTCTCCAACAAAAATTTTTAAATTTTTGGCCTAACATGAAAAATACATACTTATCATTCCTTGTGAATGGGGCAGGACTATATTAAGGAAGAATTTAACAATTATTATCAGGTTCAAGTAAAAATTTATTATATGATGCTACATGAAAATATATATGAAAAATAACTATTTTAAATCCTCTCTAAAAACGGAATCTATATATGACAAATCTCCTATATTTAAAAAAAAATTAATATTGTTACCTTTAACAAAATAATGATATTTGTAATATCATTCTTTGCAAGAAAAAAAATAAACACACCTTTTCAGCATATACAAAACATAATTAATGCAATGTAAATACACAAAGACACCCTAAAGGTATTGAAAGTATACTCCATTTCATGTCCTTTTTTTGGCCACACATTATTCACTTGCTGCATGTGCAATTCATGTAATCTTCATTACTTTCATAGAGTTTTTACCCAATTGGCACCACAGAATTTTCTGCACAGTAATAGAGTCCTTTTACCAGGGTAAATACTCATTTCTGTACAGTTGCGATTTTCATCTGGACTCCTTATAAAAATTGATCCTCCATTTGAATGTACCACGCAATTCCTTCTTTCATGCCATTCCCTTCAATTCTGAAAAAGTTGTTGCTCTTGAGTCTTCACTTTGAAATTATTTTCAAAAATATTAAATCCAATGTGTGAATCTATAGGGGAGGGGTCCAGGGAGTCTGGAACTTCCTTCCTACTTGCATTATGTATATATTATGTAATTAAATGTATATATATACTTAATCAATTAAAAGTGATTTGGACACCCCCCCCCCCTTACCCTGTTACGATCTGCATCTGAAATTCCTAAAATTTACAATGGAGTTTGAAAAGTGGTGATTAATTTTACTATATTACTATATTTATATTTTTTTCAAAATCAGATTAGATTTCATACTTACTGACAGAGTTAAAGTCTTTATGCATTTCCCCCAAGTTTACAATGACTACAGGGGACAAGAATTTTGCTGAAAAAGAAAGTTTGTTCATGAAGTTATCTGACATTATTATTAACAAAGTTTACACTAATTTGTATACATAATATTTTTTAAATATAATACTGAAACATTGTCACTCTTAAATAAATTATGTGTGTCATACCCCCCCCCCTTCATTTACCCTGGCATGAACCAAGTGGAGAGATGGGGTTTAAATGATTTTATGTAAACTTATAACATAAATTCAAATCAGTTAATTTTGTTATACTATGTTTTATAAATGCTGTAATTTTGATACTTTAAATTAAAACTATTACATGTAAGAACCCCCCCTTTTTTTAAATAGTGCCTTTACTTTATATTTCAAATTTCATATGCCAATGATTAAATTTTCACACTGATCATTTGAATTTCTGTTTGTTATTATCGCCATGCTCATGCAGAGGCTACTGTACATAACCTGTTCCCGCGATATTGACACGTTAATTACTGGTATTATTTTTTTTAAAAGACTCTGAAACTGTGAAACACTTTTTATGTCTTGTTACACATCAGGTTAAACAAAATAATTATTATTTATATGTCTTCTATTCATGTGTAGGCTGTAGCACTGGCTACACGGCCATCTTGAATCAAAACAAACCAAAAATCTACGGTACAATTACCTAGAACTTCGTAAAATTTACACTTGATATTCACATTCTAATGCATTCTTTACGTGCACAAATACACTAACAACAAGCAGCATGAAAATTTACACTGAAATAAAGACTTACCGAACTATAATTCTCCGATTTCTTTTTTAGGCTTTCATCTCGGCAAATTTTCAAAACGTCTCAGAAATGTCCGCGCTCTCCACTGACCAATCGTAGACTTCGCTGGAGTCACGCGATTTTATTAGAATTTATTAAATTATTCATAAAATATTTCGTGTAAACAATTTATAATTATAACAATGAACATTTAACAATTATTTAATGAAGCCCCAACTTAAACTGAAAGCCGATTGCGAAGAAATCCTTGAAATTTAGCGTGGCTATTTTGGGCAAACAATTGAACCGCCATCTTGACCGCCATTACTATTTTGTGTTTGTTTACATAACAAATCACCCTCAAATTGATTAGGCCCCCTATTTTTTTTAATTATTCATAATTTTCTTTCATGTTAGATTTCAACTATAAAATCTTAATTAATGTAACTAACACCAGAGAGTGATACAAACATCGAAATACATGTATGTAAATTATTACAGTATACAATCCGTAAATGCCTAGTATGTGAACATGGTGAATAATTATAAATGATAAGCACCTGTATTTTGTGCATCTTGGGGGCTATTATTTGTATGAAAATTCTGTAAATGTGCACTTTTTTTTACTGCTACTGCCTAACTACCGGCAGAGACCTATATATACTACCAGTATATAGGTCCCTGCTACCGGTAAAAGTTAAAGCATCTCTATTTATTTCATTCTGTAATTTATTCTTCTGTATTTTACCCATTCATGTTGAGCTGAAAAATCTAATGAAATCACCGTTTTGTCATGTTTGTGGTTTGTGGAGAACTACATGTGATACACTAACAATTTCTGAAGGTCATCCGGTATTAACACCGAATACTGAGGAAATCGACATCGTTTTGCATTCAAAGATAAACAAAGTCCATTTCAAAATACACCAGTAACTGGTCTAATGGATATAAATTCTCACCCTATAAAATTAATCTAAACATCCCAAACATTTTTGTAGTTACAAAATGTACGAGAGAGAGAGAGAGAGAGAGAGAGAGAGAGAGAGAGAGAGAGAGAGATAGAGATGCAGTGATCGCGTAATGGGACCTCTACTGGACATAGAGATGTGTATATAAATTTTATTAATGATAATTTATCATAAAAAGTTGTATCTGTTACAACTAGAGGGGTTTGCTAGCAAACATGGTTTTGAAAAAAAAAATGTATTTAGTTTTTAAAACGTTTTATATCTTAATAGTTTATCAGTTTATTCACATAGTTAAAACATTCATTTATCATTAAATTATTTAAGAGCAAAAGAAATTATAGAATTATACTGCAAGAATAATACAGAGAAGCATCGTAACTAAGCAGATTTGGCTGTTGGTTACATGACTTTGTGTCCACTTCACTAGGTGCATGGACTAAACCTGATCTCTCTGTGGATTACCTGTGTATTGTATGCGTTCAAGCGGAAAGTGATTTCCTGTCTCTAATTGACATATTTCACAGTATTGCAGAATTAGTTTTATAAATGCAAAAACTTGATAAAATGACATGTAAAAAAATAATAATAATAATTTAGCAAGTGCGTGTGTAGTGGGGGGGGGTGTTAAAGGTCAATATAATTGTATAGTGTTTATAAGACAATCCCCTATGTCTTAGAGAATGTTAATCAAAGTTACTAAGAACTGACACTCTTTAAGACAAACTAGTGCATATTTTAAGAACAGAAATGGATCTTTACCTTTTATTTTCCGTAAGAAGATTAATTGAATAAATGATAATTACATATTTGGCATTTGAGAGTAACAATGTTATCACCCCTCCCCATTTTTTCTTTCCACAACACCGCTATATATTATACTGAGGACTTGAAATAATGATGTGAAATCTGAAGTATAATGTTATTAAAAATTAAATGCACAAAATGTTGAATGATAATTCAACCCCAGCCCCCTACAACCCACCCCACCCACACCCAGATACAAAGAACCAGTCATCTAAAAAAGTATTTAAATTCAGGCATTTTGAAAAATGACTGAGTCCAAAGTAGGTACATTTTATGCACACTGGAAAATATTTAAGTTCAACATAGGTACATTTCTGGCACACTGAAAAATGACAAAGTTCATAGTAGGTAAGATGGAAAATATCTAAGTTCAAAATAGGTACATTCTAGGCACACTGAAAAATAACAAAGTTTAAAATAGGCACATTTCAGGCACACTGTAAAATGACAAAGTCCAAATTAGGTACATTTTAGGTACACTGAAAAATGACAAAGTCTAAAGTAGGCACATTTCAGGCACACTGTAAAATGACAAAGTCCAAATTAGGTACATTTTAGGTACACTAGAAAAAAATTAAGTTCATTTTTGGTACAGAATAGGTATGCCTTTTCTGTACCTATAATAGTAGGTACACATTAGGCACAGAAAAGGCACAAAAAAGGTATGCCTATATGTACCTTTTTTTTGTATGGGTATATCATATATAAATCTCTAAAATGTATTTTGAGAAGCTCAATGAAAATTTTACACCATTTAATAATCAGACATGCATGTATTCAGAGCAGTGAGCCAGTGACTCTTCAAGATCTGAACGAATTTAAAATTCAAATGTCATGGACAACTTACAGATACATATAACTGATAAGTAAAATTTATAACTCTGAAATTAAATAGCTAGCTTGCCCTATTTGTCAGCCTGCCAAGGGTCTTTAGTAACCAGATCTATATCTTATTCCAACGCCACTTTTAAATTTATGTACGGGAACTCTGCTGGACTAAAAACTTTTACTCTTAATTTGGATAACATAATTCATTTCAGATTCAGTCTTTGATCTTTATATCTAATTTAATGTCTGTGCAGTTCAGAGCATCTGAATTCCTTGTTGCCATGAATATGATTACACATAGGAAAGTCATGCAAATATAACATATTTTTACTTACCCTAAGCAGTAAAAAGTTGATCACTAAGGCTTTTAATGACACTGCAATGATAATCCCTGATTTATTCAATCTGATGCACTTAAATGACTAGCAAGATTATTTTTTTTTTCAATTTGACACTATATATGCATGTCTATATTTTAGTGTTTATACATGTTATAGGCCCTATAACCATTAATTTGCATGTATGTTTCAAATGATTGTTCTACTAAAAGTCATAGGCCTAGATATAACATGCGACGTTACATTAACACAAATTACACATCATCATTTGACGATCTGTGCTGGGACAAAAGTTAAAAAAAAAACCTATCAGGCCTATGAATTTTTATCCAAAAATAAAAATATAATTCGACCCTTCAACGTGTTGATGATGTTTGTAAGATCAATTCCATTCTATTTCCAAAATAAATAAAGCATCAATCAAAATCTTTCATTTGGGGTAGGTAGATTTTAAGAAAAAAGCCAAAAAGTGAAAAAAAAAATCAAAAAAGTCAAAAAGAAAGTAGACACGGACAAAAAAAACTATAGATAGGCTTAGCTCTATAGATCTAAGAAACTATATTATGGCAATGAAAAATATGGTTTCTCCTAAAATAAACAACCCTTAACTTTCATTATAATACATGCATCTTTTGTAGGCCTACATGTTACTAATTACGGGGCCTACATTTGATTTCTTCCATCTTCGTCAGTGCATGAAGGCTGTGACGTCATAGACGAATGATCTTGGTGGATTCGCCCCCTATTCCCTGTTCGCCATGAGTGATTCGCCCCATTGGTTCGTTTAAATATGATTTCAGGTACTCTACATGTACCTGTCTACCTATCTATTCAGAAAGGGGTTATTGATGAACCTGGAACTATTTTCTAGAAAACACGGACAGCCCAATCAATAGACCAAGAATTATTAACTCTCCATCCCCTAGTTATAATATTGCAGAACCGGAGCGTTACGGTTTTATAACAGGCTGCCGAGCACTGTCTGAAAGTTGGGGGGAGGGGGTTCCAGTCAAAGGATTTTTCTTACTTACCTATAAAAGTTGAGGGGTTGGGGGTAGTGGTAAAAATTTTTCAATGCCAACTTTCTTTCATTTCCAATTTTAAGAATTCCATATCCATGATATCACTCTAAGTACTGTGGTAAGACATGGGGGGGGGGGGGGCTTTCAATGAACATTTTCAATAATAAAGGTACTGTTGGGAAAAGGGGGGGGGGGGGGCGGCTGTTTTTACATGTACGTGCCCGTATAACAATCGTTCCACAAAAAAAAAAAAAAAAAAAACCCACTAGTCTCCCTTATAATGTATAGTGGGGTATTTTTTTTGTGGAGCGATTGTTTTAGGGTTTTGACGATTTTTTCATATTGTACCCATGATGAATAAGAGTAATAAATATAATTTTTGAAAAAAAATGTCCAATAAGCCCCGGGATTGAATATCGCGGGGGGGGGGGGGGGGGGGGGCTGTCCACAAGTACCTGTGAGCCATACATGTATATGTTTAGAGAGCTTGTAGACAGATTACAAAAGACAAGACACGTGGTTCAGAAAAGCATACTTCTACAAGTTCATTACTTCTGGAGATGGTCTAAAAATGGTATATAGCTAAAGTTCGCTGGAATCTTCCTTGCATATTACTTGTGGGTATTCAAAGTCCGGGGTTGTGAAGGTAAACGGAGGAAAGCAAATCTGCATACATCTACAGATCTACCGAGCAGAAAGGACAGAGTTTTTATTCGACGCATAAATTTCTATATCACAGAAAAAAAAATCGCTCAGTGTGTGGACGAAAATAAAGGGGGGTTCCAACCCTCCAGAACTCGCCCCATCTGGATCCACTAATTAATTCTATTTTGATCATTCATGTACCACAGAATCAAACTCGTTTATGGTGTAAAAAATTATAAATAACTTTAAATCAAGTTATATTAGGTCTATATTTTAAAAAATAAAACCAGTACACAGTATGTATTTGAAAATAGTTGATTGTAATGATTATTCGGTCTTTTTCAGACGTTTGTTTAATTTATTTATTTTAGGAGACTGTTATGCATTTTCATTCCCCCCTTCCCTTCACAAGAAAAATCCACAGGTACTTGTGGACAGGACCCCCCCCCCCCGATATTCAATTAATCCCGGGGCTTATTAGAATTTTTTTTCAAAAATTATATTTATAACTCTTATTCATCATGTTACAATATGAAAAAATCGCCAAAACCCCAAAACAATCGTTCCACAAAAAAAAAAATACCCCACTATACATTATCCCTTATAATGTATAGTGGGGTATTTTTTTTTGTGGAGCGATTGTTTTAGGGTTTTGACGATTTTTTCATATTGTACCCATGATGAATAAGAGTAATAAATATAATTTTTGAAAAAAAATGTCCAATAAGCCCCGGGATTGAATATCGCGGGGGGGGGGGGGGGGGGGGGGGGGTCCTGTCCACAAGTACCTGTGGAAAAATCTCGTCAAAAAATGAAAGATTCATAATGATCCATGCTACATGTATAAAAGAGATTTGATGTTGTTAAGCCATGCATGTTTATAAATTTTGTTCATATTTATATATACAGACAATTGTAAATATATTTATTTTTGAGAAAAAAAAATATTTGCATTTTTTTTTTCAATCAACCAAAATACCAGTGAGTTTTCCACCTTTGAAATGTCCCCTGACCAAATAAACTGATCGTCGTGGACCACGTGTGTACAAGTGCTATGTGGTGACTTTTTTTTACTGTAGAGTTAGCAATGGATTACATGACTTCTGAGATGCATATTTCAATAAAAGTAAAATAGGACATTGTTTTCGACATGTGCACATCCCTGTAACGATAGCAGTATTCAGGTAAATGTTTTTATCACTGCGTTCGATGCGTATTCTCGACCTGCAGGCGTGGATTTCCAAACTTTTTTTGCTGACAGGTATACATGAATGTATTCCGTGTTGTTGTTTTTTCCTATTTTGCAAATGCACATGCATTCAAAAATAATTTACTTCTCTGCAAAGTTCTAGTTTTTGTTGGATTTTTACTTTTAAAACATGTAATTGGTCAGTTTATGGATTTATGACTACTATGCTATCGGAGATGAATACATGTCGACAGCCAAGCTAGAAAATCACTCAAGTGAAAAAAATGTGCGAGACTTTATATATAACAGGTACAGGTGGCCAAAATTTTTCGATTAAATATGGCGAAATCACTACATATCTTTTATGTTTTCAATTTCATTGAATTTCTTCCTATTAGGGATTGAAGAAGTGTTGTTTAACGTCCTTCTAGAGGATTTTTCACTCATATGAGACGCCACCACTTGCCGGTGGAGGGCTACAAATTCTGTCCTTTACTCGACACTTAGGGCCATTGAGCAGTGAGGGAACCTTATTCGTGCTAGTACCTTCTGCACACGGGACCTAGTTTGATACAGTCTCATCCGAAGGACCGGTTTCACATCTCAAAGTGGGATTCGAACCCGCGACGTAAGGATCAACTCCTTTGTTCACAACTCTAGAGAAGACGCTCTTACATATGTACTTCACATTGAAGAGGTGGAGAAGTTAAGCTTGTTATCATTTATTTATGCCTGTAAACAGTCTGACGCCATTTGAGGGAAGGTTCCCATATAATACATTCGGATTAAGGAACCGGTTTGTTGGTGTTATAAATGAACTGAAAATCATTTCATTTGGACTTAACTTAGAAGACTGGAGAAGAAACATTATTAATGAGTGTTAAAATACTGTATACAGGGTTATTTTCGCCCTTTCACATTCAGAAACAAGTTTGCCCCATTTTAAATTCGCCCAGAAATATTTTTGTTTAAGATATTATACTGTTTACTTTGAATTCGCTCCGTTTTAGATTCGCCCACTTCCGACGAGGGCGAAAGGGGCGAAAATTAAACGGGGGCGAAAATTTCCCAGTATACAGTATGTAGAAGTTTAACCCACCCTGCTCTAAGCTAATGGGTGGGGGATGCAAACGCCTCGTTTTAGAAGTAAGACGTATGATTGATGCAGTTATGTTGGAGATACCAGCTAGATCTATAACTCAAAATATTTATGACTGAGGTTTCAGCAATACCATTTGTCTTCTTATTAGAAGATGTAAAAACAATCATAATGATACTTACTCAAAAATCTCCTTTGATTGTCGTACAGTAGTTTGGCCAGTTCCGATTTTGATCAGTTCCGAATACTTATTAATTGAATAACTGATAATTATTAAATCTAATGGTGTAAAAATAAATTTATATCTATGGTAAGAAGGCTGATGTATGTGTGAGAGAATTATATGAAGTTTTGATTTTTTGTCGTGAGTTCGGTTTCGTTATCGTACTTGAAAGAGTCGACATACTTTTACAATGCAACAAAATTGAATCACCACGACGTAAGATTAAGCATAAAAACATCTGTAGAGACATCAATTTTTCACATAAAAGAACATTCCAGGTATCAAAAGTAAGTTTTATTTGCACTCTAACACATATTTAAATATTGTCTGAAATAATGATTAGAGCACTGGAAGAGATCGGAATATTTTTGTGTTTTCATTTTACTTGTCCCGAATTCCCATGATAAACACTTATATAAACATGTATTTATTCTTCGTTGTTTTCTTCATTGAAAGCGTGAATTTTTACACATCCCCTTAAAAAGCAAGCGAAAAGGAATATATATAGTGATGTGTTGTCTGTCCATTCATCTGTCTAGCTGTTCGTCTTTCTGATACGCGCTTTGGGGTATGTACACATTTCTTATCTGCAACTCTCCTACACTGAATGGTATTACTGAGGCTTTCTTCACAGAATTAACCGAGGCTTTTACATGGTTCCAAAGTACACGTTCTATTTTATTTTTTGCTCTGCCACATAATATGGGCTCCCTTGGCAAAACAAGCCTTTCTTTCTAATATTGAAATATCATGTGTATATATTACATGCAATTAAGGTCAGACAAAACGTTCCTCAATAATACATATAACTTTTCCTAAGACTTTGTCATTTAACTATAACTACTAAAACAAATTTCCTCACAAAAAATTAGGGTACTTAACCAGGCATTTGGACAAGAAACCACAGAGTCATACTTGTTATATACATGTAACCCTAATGGGTAATCTTTAGAATGACATAGATCGACATTTTTGGTGTACATGTACTTATATTTAAAGTGAAAACATTTTGAAAACAATGTAGAAATCAGAAGAGAATGATAAATATGAATATTTTTTTTTTAAATATAATACCTAGAGATACAAAACATAAATTTGAGGCACGTGTCGTCTTACATTGTACCTGAAGGTAAATCATATTTAGTCGGCCAAAATGATCAGATTTAGATTTTACTATATGTTTTCATTCATTTCTAGGTCCTGAGATAAAATTTTGAACATAGATACATGTAATATTAAGAGATCATTACGTCATATAACATGCAATAGCATCATACTTTACAGCCAGGTATAGTAGAATAGTATGTGTTGCCTTAATATACCCACGTATTTATACTAATCCAACGACTAGTATTCATACCATATGCATACATTTACATATATTTGAAACATGTAGTTAATTATCTTGATTTGTCTCATTCTAGAAGTAAAGCACCACGGTTAGTTATTAGTATACCAAATATTTAAAAAAAACATGTATTATACATTTAAGGTAAAATACAAGAAATGTCATTTTTTTTTAATTCATGCTGCTCAAGTTAATTAGCTAACGTATGTACACGATAAGCTTAAAATTTCTAAAAAAATTTCAGGGATGGGTTGTTTAAATACATGTACTTGTGGGGTGTTGCGGTAAAGATGTCCCCATCATCTCAAGCCACGGTCCGGAGTCCGCTTATAGCTTTTTTTTCAGAATGGGAGAGGGTCGTACGTTTTGGCCCTAGTTTGCGACGATTAGCAGTCCCCTAAATAAAGATTAATTTGTGAAACAACACATCACATCACTGTAATAAATCGAAAATTTTCAAGGAGAAAAAATAACAAGCATTAATAATACAATAAAATACTTTTGAAGTCCTTTAAGAAACATCTGGTTTTATCTAATTATTAGATATTCTATATATATACAGGCTTATTTTCACCCCTTGTAATTTTCAACATTTTAAATTTGCCCCATTTTAAATTCACCCGTTCCATAAGATGTAAGATATTACACTGAGTGTTTTCTTTCAATTCCCTTTGGTTAAAATTAATTGAAATGAGAACAAGGCGAAAACAAAAAGGTGGCGAAAATTTCCCTGCATACAGTAACTGGTTAGCCAAAATTTTAACCCGATTTATAACAGTCTAATGATGGGCCTAGTATGTCAAACATTTTATAACTCTTTATTCATTACTTACCTTAGGATCCAATGTTGAGGGAAAAGCCGTTTCATTTGATTATTGACGATCACTAAGTTTTCGCGATTAATATTTATGCAAGATAGTCATATTCTTTCTTTGCGAGTTGATATCTTCGCGAATTGTGGTCAAAGTATTATTCTTTATAATTTTTTTTAATAAATACTTAATACATACGCGAGAATAAAATTTTTGCAAGAATACTGTCCCGCCTAATTATGCGAAAATAAAGTACTTGAGAATAAAATATGTTTCACAGTACATGACTGTATATATGAGATTCTTGATAATAATGCTAAAATAAAAAAGAAAAAAAAACAAAGTTGTAAACAACTTAATTAAGCGGAAACATGTGATTACGATCAGCATCAAATCGTATCGTGTTGAGTAACCTATCATACCAGTAATGCAATGAAGTCTTTGTAAATAAACATAATTGGAAACAAAGCCGTTATTTCATTCAATGTCTAGAACTCAAGTCAGAATGCTTGAAATTTTGTATTGCCTATTTACGAAATTTTTCATCAAGGCCTTCACTTCTCTCACATTTAAGGAAAGTACAAAATTAAAAGCTGGTTATTTGAACACTGTTGTAGTTATGAGGTCATGTCTTTCAAAAGAATAATTTTATGCTTAACGAATCACACGTTGAAGTTCAACAAAAGTTTACAATACAAGTTAGTTTTGTTTTTGTTTTATACATTTATTGCATAATCCATTAGGGAAATATGAAGATTTATTCAGGCAAGAAAAATGAAGCCCGTGATTTTTCTTCAAGTTGGCTATTTCTTTAATTTGACAACCAATAAATTATTTTCTTTATACCGACACAAACAAAATAATTAAAGAATAAACACATTTTCACTTTGTACTTGTGGCTCACATTCAACTTCAATCTTAATGTTAATTATTCTTCATGTTCTTCTGCTCTCGGAAGTTTTCTTTCAATTGAATTGAAAACTATTGTGAGAAAATGCAAGGTATCCGAAGAGATATATTATTGACAAGCAAGTTGACGAAACAAGAATATCAGCCGTCTTGTTTAAAGTCATCATTTCGTAATTTTTTTTGTGTCGATACAATAACCTTGTCAGCATTAATAGATTAATTTATCATTGAGTCAAATGCTGACTGACGTTTCTCATACTAATTGTTCGTCCATTATTTATACACTGAATTGATGACGGATTCTTCCGTTATTCTCTGATCATGACAAAGGAGTATACGATGAGTGTGACCGGTCAGCAGGGGATGCTTACTCCTCCCTGGCACCCAATCCCACCTATGATGTTTCGGAGGTCCGAGTTTGTTCTGCTCTTATTTTGTATTGTTTTATCGACTTTGAGATTGAATACTATACATTATCTCCATATACCTTCTTAAAAGTTCATTATGTATTTTTTTAATACTAAAATGTAATTAATAAAAAGAAAATGAAGGGAGACTTGGAAGTGAAATTGGAGTTTTATTGAATACATATATATGACGTCTACGGTTTCAAAGTTTAACGTCATTTACTTCATGCATACTAAGAGGAAAATGCTTATTTATTTTTCCATATATGCTTACTAAGCAATATTGTGTCATTTAAAAAGCATTAAGGGTATAGATAATTTATGTACACTTTGTGCATGCAAATTTTTACTCATCAAAGGACAAGATAGGGTAACGGCCGAATCTGCGCCCTTATTTGATGAAAAAATCGGGACACTGGTAAATTTGTGAAAGTTTGCAGTTAAGAATTTAAATGATGCTTACTTTTAAACAAGAACGTATTTATATTTAAAGCTTACATGAAAGACACTAGAGGGTGCAGAAGACATTTTACAGACTTTATTCAATTCTGATGTATATTTCATCATATTTGGGATACTTTTCTCCTCGGAAAACATAGAACTCACGCTTGCCTATCTACCAAACGAAAATATTTCATACACAAATATAAGATGCAGTTTTATTGTAAAGATCTCAGACGGACAAGCTTGTTTCTATGAAACAAAATGTGCCGTAAAATCAATGAAAATTTGCATAGAAATGAGAAAAATTTCTTAATTGACCTATTTCCTGACCTCACTGTTACTTCCTTATATTCTAAATCTTAGAACCAATTCCCATTTTGTGGCAGGGGTGCCAACAGGTTATTATGGTCTTACCCTATCTTGTCCCTTTAATGTAAAATTAGTCATATATGTAATATTTTTTCTGCCTAATATGCATTTCATGTTAAATGTAGGTTATATGTACATGTATAGACTGAAAATGCTGATTATCAAATTTGATGAAAAATTGAAATTTTAATTGTTTAATTGACTTACCAGTAGTGACAAATTTACAGCCACTTTCAAAGTCACACAAATATTCCTCACATTCACATTCTAATTGACATCCATCACCAAATGAAGGATATGTACATGATTTACTGCAGTTCTCTCCACCGTATCCGGGTAAACATTCTAAACGTATTAAAACTATTACGTAATATTCAATACTGATTAATATGAATGTATATAGTTGTGTGTATAAATAATTAGATATTAAGCAAATTAGATATTTGATAGTCATGTTAAAAATATGAATTTAATGTTATAAATTCTGGGAGTAAGATGGAAGTAATTATTAGAGTAAATCACTAAATTGATTGATTGATTGTTTGTTGGTTAACGTCCCTCTAGAGAATTTTTCACTCATATGGGAACGCCACCACTTGTCGGTGAAGAGCTAAATATTTTGTCCTATACTCGGCGCTCAGGGCCACTGAGCATTGAGGGATCTTTTTCATGCCAGGACCTATTTATAAGGTCTCATTCGAAGTCTTAAAGTCCAACAACTGGATTCGAACCCGCGATACAGGATATAAAATTCCATTATTTTATTAGTCTCCGAAAGGTACCTTAATATTGTTAACGAGGAACTCCAGCATCATCCATGATATAACTTTAGAGTGTTTGTATGTAGAACCAGAGCGTTTTTTATTTTTTTTTATTTTTACAAAATCAGGACTCGATCTATTTAATACATTTTAAAGAAACTGTTACGTAAAAAAATGTCTATGGCACCAGTCCAGAAATTGTTGATAGCCTCTCGTTAATATAAAGGATTCCAAGATAGGAAACATGTTGTGATATGCATCTAAGAAAGCAGATAAAAATTCCCTATTTTTATTACTCCTTTAACTTACTTTCGCATTTTTTTGTCTTGAAATTCCACTTGTAACCCGAACAACAATTTTTGAAGCCTCTGAAAACATATGTTTCTAGGTAAAACGATGTACATTAAGTTATTAAATATTTTTAATATGTGATCGTTAGTGATGGAAAAAATATTTTATTTTATGAACATATACTTACCTTTCACATCTAGGGGTTTTCACAGAGAATGAACGAAGGAAAGTAAAAATACTTAATAAGATAGATATTTCTGTGATGGACATCGACTTATATTTCAATTAGTTTCACAGATGCTAAAATTGTTCATGCTCATACATGTACTTTCCAGTATAGATTTTAAGATATAGGCATACTATGAGTTGCCTTGTATAAAATTTCCTTTTCCGCTTATACATCACGGAAATAAAGTAAAATTTTTTAATGGTTTTGTATACGACACTCCAGCAGTGATATCTCAATGTTAAAATAAAATTATAGATCATTTTACCATTCAAATTTTATATATATCGAACAATGCATTAAATCGAACTTTGGCTAGCATAGAATGTGGAATTCCTCTAAATGACATTTTTTCTCTATATCTATGCAATTCTTTATAGCAAAGTAAATAAAAGGTACTTGTTTCTGTCTCCATTAGGTTTCCTAAAACATTGTTTCTGAGGCTAATAATAGGTCTAACTACTTTATTTAAAAATACAAATGGAACATTTGAATTTAGCAAGAAAAAATTACAAGTACATGTACATGTTCCGTTTTATTTTTTGAAGAAAAAATACGTCTCTCTCTCTCTCTCTCTCTCTCTCTCTCTCTCTCTCTCTCTTTCTTTCTCTCTCTCTCTCTCTCTTGGGTCTTGATGTTTCATGTATTTATGCATTTTCTACGGAAGCCCGTTGGTGCCACGTACGAAAAATATTTTATCTGGCGGCCGCCACATATATATCTGGCAGTCGCCACTTATTAGTTGGCGGCCGCCACTTATATATCTGGCGGTCGCCACTTTATATCTGGCGACCGTCACATATTTATCTGGCGGCCGCTACATAATATCTGGCGGCGGCCAAATATTTATCTGCCCGCCAGATAACACCTGGATTCCCGATGCGCAATTATGTTTTAACATGTGATTTCAGAGGTGGATACAGTGTTTTAATTAGCGACATCAATCAACCAAATTTGTAAGAGAATTATTAGGACCCGACACTCCGAACCACACTTCTAGTAGATATGCTTGTGCATAGAGCAGATTTTTATTTTATTTGAATTATGCATGTAGTTGTATAGTGTTTCGGCTATTAAGAAGCCTCATCAGGGGTCATGAACTTAAAGCATGGTGTTAGTTTAAGGTCAGACCGGATTATTTCGTCACCTATATTCTTGTGTTTGCTGTAAGCTATGATTGGTTGAGAAATTAATACAGTTTTGCATTCTGGATTTCTAAGAATGGTGATCCAATATTTCAGAATTCGTTTTTTTTCATTAACTTTTTTATCACTAAACAACGGCTGTGTAAACATCTATCTTCTTAATCCAATAAAGATACAATAACACTCACCATTTGCAAAATAATTTATGCGGCGCCGCCAGATAAATTACGTGGCGGCCGCCAGATTAACAAGTGGCGGCCCAAATAATAAGTGGCGACCGCCAGATATTATGTAGCGGCCGCCAGATAAATATTTGGCGGCCGCCATATAAATAATTTGACGGCCGCCACTTAAATTATGTGGCGGCCGCCATATATTAAGTGGTGGCCGCCAGATAAAATATTTTTCGTATGTGGTACCAACAGGCTTCCGTATTCAAATATTTAGAAAATATTTTTTCAAGATAATTTTAAATTTCATTTAAATGTGTGTGAAGTAGGGGAATATATTAATATATTATTATCGGGCCAGCAGAAAAAAATATTATTTGTCATTTTATTTATTTATTTATATTTTCATTTCGATTAAAATAATACTCGCTTCATAATTCTGAGTGTAATATATATACATGTTTATATATATATATATATATATATATATATATATATATATATATATATATATATATATATATATATATATATATATATATATATATATATATATATATATATATATATATATATAAAGCACATTTTACAACAACTCTTAAACCATCATAAAATCGAAAGCAAGTTTTTTTGACTTGCCTAGATAGCCGAGCGGTCTAGCGCGCTGTTCCTGCACTGCTAGGAAACAGATTCCGAAGGTCTAGCGTTCAACCTCGGGCTGGGGCGGAAGTGGATAACCATGTAAATGTGAATTATTTTGTGCTTTCTATATTAATATTTCTTCACTTAGGGCAGTTATGTTAGTTTAAGAATGGTTGTAAAATGTGCTTTATAAATAATAATTATTTTCATTATAACATGTATTGGAAACAATCCTCTGTTAAAACTAATGTCCAATTAACTTTATCTCACTTCTATTCTCAATGACCGTGTAGTGTAGGGCAGCGCCGCGAGAATTCCATCGGCATCGAAATCAAGTTTTTTGACTTGCCTAGTTTAAATCATATGTATAAGTATATATATTTAGAAAATGTCCAGTAAATATTTATTACGAACTTTTATTTTGTAACTACTATAAATGAAATCTAAATATATGATGTGTAAAAAAAAGTTACATGTACAATGTAGCATATAGTTGACAACGTCTTTTTGCAAAATATACTACAATGGCTACAGCACAAATAATAATTACAGCAATGACAGCAATGACAGCAATGACTCCAATTACACTTTTGCCACCGCGATTGTTATCTTCCATATGCTCATCAGATTGCTCTGTGTAAGGCCTATAATTGAAAACACAGTCATATAGAACCCTTTATCTAATTCTACGTTATATAATATGTTACTCTTTTCAAAAAATCAAATTTTACATACATGTACAAAAGAAAAATAATCATAAGAGTTTGTCTTTGATTAAAAAGTAAAATCACTTCCTGGATAAAAAAAGTAAAACAAACTGAAGCCAATGGATTACTAGAAAACAATGTTTTGTTTTTATTATTATTATTATTATTATTATTAAAGATTAAAGTAATAATTACTTTTAAGTGCTGTTTGGGTAAACATGCATTCCAATGAATTATATAAAAGTAGTTTTTTTTTTCTGTATTCCATAGTTTTGTTTTGTTTTCCGCGTGTTTTGCAAATCTAAAGATATCAACATTAAAGGAAAATTTTATTCAGAAAAAAGAGAGTGACAATTAAGCAGAATAATCTTTCTCATCATATTTGTTCATTAAGGCACATTCAAAATGGAGTTTCCTAATTTTTGAATTGTCACTCTCGGTATTCTTCCTTAAACTGGCTGGTACAGTATAAACAGCTGAATGATTTTTCGAATACGACACGGGAGGGATTTTGATAACAACTCTGAAGTTCAAGTTACCAAGGAAACGTTGTTTGTCTAATCAATAAGCAAAATTATGTTTCTTTGTACAGTCTGCTTGTGTAGATAGGTTCCTTTGAAACTAAACAAAATAGTGTAGGAGGAGTAGCAATTTAAAGAAAAAAACCAAAGAAACTTTATTTTTTGCAAGCATGGCGAAAGGATTTGCTGAAATAAAACTCCAATTTATGAAAACATATTAATGTTTTAACCAAGACAACACATTTTTTCAAATCAAAATCCGAAGGAGAGAACTATGCATCTTTGTAAAGTCTACATGCAGACAAAGTCATTCCAAAGTCAATGAAAAATGAAGATAACGAATCGTTATCAATATTAAAAATTCCTTGAAACAACAATAAGAGGAGGCACAGACGCGTACCTCTTAAATCACAAAGTGTCGGTCAGGACTCATGGAAGTGCATGCACTTCTGTCCACCAGTCATACCTGCCCGTAATAATGGGGCTTTTTGAAAATCAATAGACAATTGAGTTTGGAAAAATGACCTAAAAATATACTATGAAAAAAGGCAGTCAACATTTGACTAAAAGATACATTGTAATTGAATACAAAGTCATTGTATCGACCATGTATTCTGCGAAATATTGAACTTGAATGAGACTGTTTATATTCTTGTTTTAAAATTTTATTTGTCTAAAACTCTCTTCTGTTCAAAATCATTTGTAAGTAGAGCAAGCATCTGTGTATAGAATGAACTGGGCAACATTAACCCCAACCTTCTGCTGAGCACATCGTAAATTGATACAAATCTAAGGGATGATGGATATGCAAAATAGTCATCGTCACAACTAACTTGAACTTTTGAAGCTAGGTTACCATTAACGTATGTTGTAATATACATGTTGTATCCAAATATGAAAAATACTGATTTCGAGATCGATATTTACAGCAACAATGAAAAGCAATTTGTCGAAATAATAATTCAATATACAGATATGTATCTTAATTAGTCTACCTGTGTACCGGATCTTATTCAAATAGAGAACAAAATTTTATGATTAATAACATTGATAAAAAAAATTCTCACAATTTGTTAAATCAAGTTTTTACAATGAACAAATATGCACCCCCAACTTCTTATATTAGAAAAAAATACAGAATAAGTAAAAATGTGAGGTTTTTATACTTACTCTAGCACCTTGGTTACATGTTCAGTTCGCATGTATACCGATGATTGCTCATAGGATATTGGAAATGAATTTTGCACCATTGGTATTTTTGTCAGATTATAGCAACCGGGGTCTAGAAAGTAATCAAATCCAATATCATTTCTTAGACCGATGTTTTCTACATATAATAATGTTTCAGTGATACTGACATTGTTTTTATGTTTTTGTGCTTTCCATATTTAGAATATGTTTTATCGTTTTCAGTATCTTTTGTGTTTGTATGAATACAGGCTGTACATAAAGGTATACCTCTTACAGATTACGATTATGATAATTTTTTTTTGGTCATGCATCTTTTAAATTTCTGTCTTCATAAAGGAAAAAATGCTTAAACTTGCTGTTCTTTAGAACAAAATTATTTCTTTCCATCTTTTTTCCTTTCTCCTCTCATTGATTTTGCCCCCGCATTGTAGAGAAACCCTAGTCCCAAGGAATCATTAAATAACCAAACTTGAACTGTTCAGTTCCAATAAAATTCCCCTGTTCATTGTTGCTGTTCAGATTTAATTCCAAGATGTAGACCCAACTTTATCCTAGGGTCCATCAATAAAAAAAAAAAAGAATTTATAGTCAGTACTGAAGCTTTCATATAAGTTTCATCTCTGCTGGTAAATGAGAGGATTTTTAAAAGACGGAAATATTTTTTTGCTAAAATTTAATAAGCTTTCCTTTAAAAAGTGCATGGTGTTTCATTTGAACAGATGGTTTGAGTCATTTTTACCCAATGATGTTGTTTGTTGTTTGATAGAAATTTGCTCAGTGGTTGTAAAAAAGAAGTCGAAATTGTGAAAAGTTTATAGACGGTACACAACAGACGGACGGTGCGTGCCCTTTACTCAGAAAAGATTATGCTTAGGTAAAATAAAAAGCTTAGATACACAGAATTTTTTTCTTATCTACTCATATCAAAAACAATGTCATGTGGTCCTAATTTTTATCAAAATATTTGTTTTATTAAATTTCCTAAGAGGGAAAGTGATATGAAAACTTATCTGACTGTGATTTTGCTAATTTGCAAAGCATCACTTAAAGGAATTTTCATCCTGTAATCATGAATGTCTATGTATTTTCATGTAAATCTTTTAACTCCAATTACTGAAACTTCACTTGCCCGTAAGAAAAAAGATCAATTTATTACTCTACAAACTGTCTCTGCAAACATAGATACCGTATATGAACTACATATATACTTTTATTTTTGACTTACATTTGTATGCCTCCTTTGAATGGTACCTAGTTGGACAGGGATTCTGGGTAAAGTTAGAACAATTTGTGCGATAGTTCTCCTGAATTATGTTGCCACTCTTGCTGTACTCCGTGCAATAACCTGTAAAACTTGTCAACATTAGCGATGTTTTTTTTTTCAAATAATTTGCTCTATAATTGTACTAAAGAACCATAATAATTAAGAATAATCAAAATTCTAATGTTGGAGCAATTGTTGGAAAATATACCCGAAAATCGAAAGATTTTGTTAGGATATTTTTAACAAAGGCCTTAAGAGAAAATTTTTTTTATCAACAAATCTCTAGACGGGAGATTGTCCAAAATTCCATTGACAGGGAAATTTGCCACAACTGTTTAGCAAAAAGGGGAAACTTGTTTTGTTTTCAGAGATCTATTACGTCATCATAATACATGTATAATGATGATCCTGGCACGGGTCGTTTGTATTTCATGCATTTGTAAATGAAGGATATAATATGGATCCTAGGAGTTAAATCTTTTCTTTTCCAATTTCATAAAAATAAAGTAATTGATGTGATTCATTATCAAATAGAAGTGTACAGTTATGTGCAAACATCACGTATTCCAGTACACTTTTTCAAGTACGTATAGGTATTTTATTCGTAAAGTGTGAGTACTTTTGTTGTCGATCACCATTTTGTTAAACTTTATACCGTATAAGTGGAAATTTTAGCGAGACACAAATTTAGCGATTTGTCCTTAAAATTGATATTTTATTTTTAGCAAGATGAAATTTTAGCGATTTTGAAATGTTAGATAAAGAAGCTATAACAAATAAAATGCAATTGATTTTTAGCGATATTAAATTTTAGCGATCTCATAACCCTCGCTAATAATGCCAAAATTAAATCCTCGCTACAAATTCTGCTTATACGGTATAATATTCCAATTATTAACAAGTATTTTAACAATAAATCTAACAATAAAAAGAAAGATGTGTAAAGGAATAAGCAAACACTCAGAAAGTAATATACTTTTTGCCTTTATATGAACTCTGTCATCATCACCTTTATGCTTGAGCATAAAAAACAATATATAAACCCATTTTAAAGGATTCCTATACAGTGTGAAATCTGTTTTGTATAAGTACTGGAGTCATGCACAACACCAATAGTAAGACTGTATTCTATAAAAATAAAAATAACCAGAAGTCTCTGTCGAGACTGTAGCTCTACTGGTTTGTACTTATAATAAAGGAAGAGAAAAGTAGAAGTTGGGACATAAAACTTTTACGAAAACAATAAATAGAATAATGATCCTTGATAATTTGTCTTTTTGTGGCAAGAATGCAACTGTAGGAGTAGCTTTTAATAAAAAATTTTGCCAAGTTATATTGAAATCAGACCAAAACTGTAGAAGGAGTAGCATTTTAAAAAGAATTTCAGAGAAATTACTTTTTTAGTAACCACTGCAACACCATTCATCGAATTCAAAAACCGATACACAGAATTATGAATCTTAGTGTAGACTTCTTGTGTCTGACAAGTCATATTGAAATCAAATCAAAACTGTAGGAGGAGTAGCTTTTTAAAAGAATCTCACAGAAATGTCTATTTTTAGTAAACATGGCAATATCGTTCATCGAAATCAAAAACCGATATACAGAATTATGAATCTTAGTGTAATCTACTTGTGTGCCAAGTTATATTGAAATCAGATCTAAACTGTATGAGGAGTAGAACAGACAGACAAACAGCTAAACATACAGACAGACAGACGGACGGACGACGGACGCATAACTATCGCATAAACTCTTCTGGACTCTGACCAGTAGAGCTAAAACTTGTTGCCTAGTAAATGTTTGTTAACTATTTAACTATAGTTATAACTTTGACACTTTGAGAACTTTGATTAACTATAGTTAAAACTTTGACACTTCGAAAACTTTGGCATAAACTTTGACACTTTGAAAAACTTTATCGAAAACTTTGACACTTTTAAAAACCTTGGTGAATACTTTGACACTTTGAAATACTTTGGCTAAAACTTTGATACTTTGAAAAACTTTGGTGGATACTTTGACATTTCGAAATACTTTGGCTAAAACTTTAATACTTTAAAAAACTTTGGCGAAAACTTTGACACTTTGAAAAACTTTGGCGAAAACATTGATACTTTGAAAAACTTTGGCGAAACTTTGGCGAAAACTTTGATACTTCGAAAAACTTTGACAAAAACTTTGACACTTTAACAAAACTTGGTGAAAACTTTTATACTTTGACTCTTTGAAAAACTTATCGAAAATTTTCAACTTTAAAAAAGTTTATCGAAAACTCTGATACTTCCAAAAACTTTATCGAAAACTTTGAACCTTTGATAATATTTAGTGAAAACTTTGCAACTTTGAAAAACTTTATCGAAAACTTAGACACTTTAAAACCTTTATAGAAAATTTTTAAACTTTGATTCCTTGAAAACTTTATTTAAAACGTTCAACTTTGAAAAAGTTCATAAAAAACTCTGACACTTTCAAAAACTTTATCGAAAACTTTGACACTTTAGAAAATCTTTATCGAAATCTTTGATACTTTGAAAAACCTTATTGAAAACTTTGACACTTTCAAAAACGTTGGCGAAAACTTTGACACTTTAAAAAACTTTGGCGAAAACCTGGACACTTTGATTTACTATAGTTAACTATAGTAAACTATATTTAACTATATTTTTTTGTTAGGGTTACTCTGTATTCAGGGCCATGGACAGTGAGGGATCATTATTGTGCCAAACTTTGCCATGGCAGGAGGCCTCAATGATGTTGATGTGTATCAATGATGCACATGTACATTGTGTATACGATTACACAGCATAGTCAATATCAATTTATGTCACATGTAGTGAAAAGTTCATCTACAATTTAACCTTCCATATCAAACTTAATTGGACAGAGAAAAAAATTAAGATAGTCGAATATTCGAGATATCTAGCGTTAAATTTAAGAAAAAAAGTAAGTGATTTGGACTCCTTTTTACTCTGATTATATCCAGGGTTTTCAAGATATCAATGTCTGAAACTGTATTTATGTTAATAATTTGCCTTTAGCTGTTTAATTTTTTTTCAAGAAAACTAGTCTTAAAAGTCTAGAAATAAACTAGTAGATGTACAACAAGATTCAACATTCTGACATACTTCAATCACAAACAAACGATAACTGTTATCATTTTATATGTGTGAACAAATACGACCTGATAACAGGATGTGTTTCATACACAAAAATGCCCCGAGTGAGGTCGACAACGATTGAAAAGTATTTCCAACAAATCACAAATTGAACTTTTAAACTCTACAGTGGAAAAGCCTTTTGCATATGTGTTTAAACTATTTTTATCATATAGGTACCGGGAACATGCAATAAATACTAAGATAAGGCATACGTATTAGCTTTTTATAACATTTAAGAATAACCTTGACTTCTTATTACGCTCTCAATTATGAAAAAAAAATATCTTTTTAAAACATTAATAAATTACTTTTGAAATATCGAACTAAATCGAGAAGGGATTGAGACTTCTCTCTATGAAACGTACGAGCTGTGAAACCCCCTTGTCCTTTCTGTAATATTATGTATCTTTAAAATGCGACACAAAAAGTCATGCAGAATCTCTTCTGAATACTCGGTCGTTATATATACAGTAAAACTCAGTTATGACATATTTCCTTGGGACCTATGGAATTACTTCGCTAGATTCATAATTCGTTATATCCGTAGAAGGAATTTTTGAAAAAAAAAATTACAGTTGAATTCCAATATTTCTTTGACATACCCGTTAATTCGTGATATCCGCGTTCGTACTAGACAAAACGTACTGTACTTATAATTCACTGAAATCGCCAAGTAGTTGATTAAGGGCAGAAGAAAAAAAAAACTTAAAAAAAAAAATCTTTGTTTTTTTAACCATTATTCTCACAAAATTGGAAGTTTTTGAACATTAGATCAAACATATTCAGTTCCCCCACTTATTCTGGAGAAGATTGCTTCACTGTATTTTGTTTAACGTGCCTTACTACAAATTTTCACTCATATGGAGATTCCACTGTATGCCAATGAAGGGCTTCAAATTTAGACCTAAACTTGGCACTCAGGTCCATTGAACAATTAATGTAAGTTCTTCTTGTTGCCAACACCTACCGTGATACGGGACCTATGTTTTTAAGGTCATAACCTAAAAACCGGTGAATTTTACTTCTAGTGCCGAGCGCTTGTCGAAGGAACTGTTACTATTTATGTTTACGTCTTAGGAATGACGCAGAGCCCCGGACGAAAATCGAATCCGGGCCTCCCGATCACGAAGCGAACGCTCTTACACTAAAACCCCAGTCACATTTCCAAAAACGACCAACGGCCGACGGGTTTTGAAGCAAAAATGGGATTCTGCGGGTGACAGTCGTCAGTTCATCGGCCGTTGTCATGGCCGATTTTGACCTATTTTTTTGTCGGCCGACCAATTTTGTGTCCATCGGTCCAAGTTATAATTTTTCATGCGTCGGTGGCCGATTTCTTCAAGTGCAGTTATTCGTCGACCAACCTTCGATCATCGTCCGACCATCGGCTGTCAGTTTATTAAGTCGGTCGTCCGTCGTTAGACAATAAGGGTGTTGAAAATTTCGGCCGACGGTTAAAATCAAACTGTAGCTCAGAGCTCGATGAACGGGCGACAGTTGGCCGACTTGTGAATATTTAACCATAGTAAGGATACATAACACAAACAAAATTTTGATGCATGGATTGATTTAAATTTTTTGAACGGAGATAACTTAAATAATTAATCTGTAAGATATAAAGAAATCTTAAGTATTCTTTGCTGCTTAGATATGCACCATTTGTTGCTTTTATGCAATTCAATACAAATTTTACACACATTTTCAACATTGAGTCACAATCTTATAAGATTCTGCCACTTTGCCTTGCAATTGCGAACTTTACTCACGTCACCTATCTGAATATAGATCTATGAAAAAATATTGCTGATTTCTAGAGAAAAAAGATTTTTTGTGTTATTTATCCAAGTCATCGGTGTCCCTAGGAAATAATGTGACTGCTCGGTGTCGCCCGATACTGTGTCGGCCGATCCTGTTCTTTCAGCCGACAAGACCAGAAAAATTTAGTCGCCAGACCATCGGCTTAAATGTGACCTAGGCATTAGCCACCGTGATCGGTTAATTCTGGAGAAAAAATGAGTTAAGCTTAAGTTTACAACGACATATTTTGATAAAAAAAGGCTAACTTGTATTTAGAAGAACTGCACTGTGTTCACTATCATTTCAAGTTAAGAACCCTCTCTACACTGCATACTAAAGAGTTCTGATTCTTAGGTATTTTTATGCACTTACAGTGATCTGCCCTAGATCTCAATTCTAAAAAGTAACATTTACAGTATATTACTCAATTTATTATTAATTAAAGTATTCTTAACATTTTAAAAGGCAAAGATAAATTAACTGAACGTGTTATTTACATGTATTTTCTCTACTGAAGTAATTAAAGTAATTCCACCCTCCTCTGATGTCACAGGTTTTTGCAAAAAACTGTAATTAGTTGACATTCATACCTAATAGAGCAATATCTCTTGGAAGAATGCTTTACAATAGGTGTAATGATAAATATTGTTAAGCTAAAGAATTTAAAAAAATGCATATTTTCTATATTTAATCAATTATTCAATTTTTAAAATATGTTGACAAGGGCAATAACTCCTTCTTAGGTCTCTTCATTCAGACATTTGCTTTATTGTAAAATAGTTTCCCTGATATCCACAATTCAAAAATATCTTTTAAGTTGGAAGTATTTAGGAACACTCAACATCAGAATTATACATTTTAATCAGTTTTTATATATTTTTCATAATACTGTTTACAAAACATGTTCTATTTTTTAATGTTGATATACACTTCTGTTTATTTTTGTTTCGCTCCTTAAATAATATAGTAACCTATACTTTTTTGCAATAACTGGAAACTTTAAAGTATATTAAATGAAAATAAATGCAGTACTTTGAACCTGTAAAATTGTGATGGTGATTGGTTTTCACTGATACCGTGTTGTATTTGAACATTTTTCCCGGGTGTAAACGCCACGCACCATACAGTGAAAATTAGATAAATTAGCTCAATATTACCTCCTTTATATGATATATATATATATATATATATATATATATATATATATATATATATATATATATATATATATATATATATATATATATATATATATATATATATATATATATCTTTCTCAATGTCCAAAAAATGCACTTGTGTAGAGAGGGTCCTTAAATACCGCTGTTGCGTTGAATTTAGGACAAACACTTGGCGTTGATTTAACTACTGGTGAGTATGCATTTATTTTAGGTATGCATTTTTTACTCTCAAATAAAGCGGGTATAATTAACCAAAAAGTCCTTAAAAAATCCTTAATTAATAATTAACCAAAATAGGGTGATAATAAAATGCGTTTAAACATGTTTTAAGTAAAATTAGACATATTATACGTTTCTGTATTATTTTCAATTTAGATCACATACATGTGTAGACATTTAATTTCTTTCTACAAATACCAACATGTATCTAAATGGATACAAGATGCTTATTTTTTTTTCTAAATATGACCAACATACCAAATACAATGACTTTTTCATAGGCACAAACTTCCAGTAGTTGATCGACAAATGGGTTAATCACACAATGGTACACGAATTTGTCAGGTTTACTACATTGGCTGGCAAAAGCTGAACAGTTCTTTCTTTGAGAGGCTTCGTTCCATTCTGATTCACTGGTTGGACAGTTTGAAACAATTTTCATAGTTTGTCTTGATACTGGACAGGAATCCCTGTTACATTTGACTTCCTATTAATAAAAAAAAATTATAAAACTTAAATTCTTAGGCTAAAAATGACTTTACTGTTTGAATTGAACAATAATTAACATATTTAAAAAAAAAAATAAATGTCTTTAAAAAGGTATTGCTTATAATATATGATATATCATTAAGAAAAATAACCTGTGCGGATACACTATTAAACAGTGCAGGAATACATGTATAATATTAGTTTATTTTTTTCATAGAATCTTGATCATGTTGATAAATATCGATTAGTTAAATTAATGCCTTTGAAGGCGTATTGAACAAGAATGCACTTTTAATCTGTATACCGTACTCATTTCCGCACTGATTTCCTTATATATTTTTGAAATGGGATTGTGCAAACTTCTATGTCGTGACAAGACATTTAATGTAAGTGTGCAGTGTTTAATCCTTAAAAGTGCTGGGGATTAGGGATAAAGGATATTTACATGTTTATACATATGCACACCTATCCGTAAAATTGTCTCAAAAGAGAGGTTTACAGGTAAAATGTAAAGGAAAAAACACACCATTGATATTTTCCACTTATTTCTGTTTATTTCAGTGAAAACGCTGTTTTCAGAATACAAACTAAAGCAATTCTTTCTGGAATTTGGTGTTAATATAAATAAACAAAATGGCAGATAAATTTAAAGATCGTAAGGACATTACTTCAACATTTTAAGATTATATGTACCCTTTAACCGGCTAGATGTTTACTGTAAAATGTTTAATCTACTCCTTGAATTAAATCTATGATAGTGTAGATAAAGGCTGATGTAATATAATCATACCCTTTGTATTTGTTATGCAATGTTTATTGTGCATAGACATGTTTTTGTCATTAGTTGTCATCCAATTCTATTCAAAACACTTTATATATCTAGTACATGTGTATATGTATGTTGTTATGAATTTAAATGACATTCAATATCAAGACATTTTTTAGATAACAAGGACACTGAAAATTATGTACATCATTTTAATAGACCACAAATTCAAAGATAAATTCCAAAAATATTTTTGATTTTTTTTCCCATTCTAATTTTGAGCTCTGATCCCATCATGATTTAACCTAAAGTGGCGTTATTTAGAAGAAATAATCTACAGTCAAACCTTCTATATCATATTTTCAGAAGAGATAGACTCTATTACCTAGTGCATAATTGTCAAATTCATTTAAAAATATAAATTGTTAATGAATAAAAATCAATAAATACAATATTTACCAGGTATAAATACTGTACACAACAAACAATAGTTTTAGTGGCAAGACATTATTTTAGTTGATGGCTAGGTAAAATATATATAAAGATATCAAATAACAATCACTAGGAACTTTTAAAATATAAAAGAAATTGTATTTGAAATGTGTATCTATGTATTTTGAATAAGGTCGTAAAAAATTTAGACATTTAATTATCAGACAAATACAGCACTGCGTATTCTAGGTTTGAATTGAATTTTATGGAACGCCATTACTGCCTTATAGCATAAAACTAGGCATTCATTATGTCAATCTATCATTACGTGATGTGAACATATTCTTAAGTTACGACAATTTTTTATGGGTGTTGTAAAAATACATGTATCTTTACATCATGCCAATGCTGCATTACATGAAGTGAACACATTCTTCCATTATGTCAGCACTTTATAACTTGAAGTCCAAAGTTCATTATGTGAAGTGAAAATATCTTTAAATTGTGTTAAAACTTTATAACGTGAAATGAATGTATCTTTATATTATTTCATTTCTTTAATATGCGAGGTCAAAATTGCATTACCTCAATTTAATTTCGATTTACATGTGTTCTATGTTCTTAAGTCAAAGTTCATTCCCTGTTGTGAGTGTATATTTCTTTAATAAAAAAGCATTATTACGTGATGTAAATGTATCTTTATTTTACACCGAGGTCATCACAATGTTATGTGAAAACAACTTACCTTTATGTCAGTGCTTTATTACGTGATGTAAACAGGTTTATAACATAATGTGAACATATATTATGGAGACAGTCCCGGCTTTCCATATTATATCAACACTTTATTACATTATGTCAAAACTCCATTCCGTGATGTGGATATATAATTACGTTATGTCAAATCTTTCTTATATGATTTAAGAATATTTTTATATTGTATTAACTCTTCATCATGTTGATTTAAATGTTCATTCCGTGCTGTAAAATACATTTACATTATGTCAAAGTTGATAGACGTGTTTTCACGACGGGGAAGGGGGGGGTGTTCTGATTAATTAGGACGAATTAGAGACACAATATAGAAGGGGGGGGGTATGGGGGGTCTGGCTTCCACTTTTTTCCGACATAATTTTATCATAGAAAATGTTCATTGAAGGAGTTTGAAATTCCGCACCACTTTTTGCTGAAGTATAAGGGAATTTTATATATATATATATATATATATATATATATATATATATATATATATATATATATATATATATATATATATATATATATATATATATATATATATATATATATATATATATATATATATATATATATATATATATATATATATATATATATATATATATATATATATATATATATATATATATATATATATATATATATATATATATATATATATATATATATATATATATATATATATATATATATATATATATATATATATATATATATATATATATATATATATATATATATATATATATATATATATATATATATATATATATATATATATATATATATATATATATATATATATATATATATATATATATATATATATATATATATATATATATATATATATATATATATATATATATATATATATATATATATATATATATATATATATATATATATATATATATATATATATATATATATATATATATATATATATATATATATATATATATATATATATATATATATATATATATATATATATATATATATATATAAAAAGCACTAAAATACCAACAACACTGTATTTCCTAAATGTCGGATCTACCAAGTAGATACAAGGTCACGGATGGAAATTTATATAAAGCACTAAAAATGACCAACGACACGAACAATAGAAATTGTCAAATTTTCGGGACGCCCTGTCCCTTCCTCAGGACAAAGAAAAAAGTTAAAAAGTCATAAGAACAAAGGAAAAAGAGAAACAAAAACAACTAGCACTACTACTAAACTACTAAACACTAGATATTTACATACTTAATTACATGATGAATTGGAAATTTTTAAAAACACTAATAAAGAAAGAAATCCGGACCGCTATGAAATGCGTCCGGTCTATCGGGTATACTCGGGCGAAGTGCGATTTACATAATTGAACGAATTAATTATGCTAATTAATTACGACAATCAGTAAATCGTACATTGTTTCATTCTCTCAAAATGGCGTAACTTTACTTAATAACGAATAATCGAAGAAAAAAAAAAAAAATATAGCAGGGATATTTAAACATATGAATTATGATCAATTATAAATTTTGAAATATTTAAGGACTTATTATCGGGAAAAAATAATTAACAAAGGTGTAAGCAATACATAGTTATGAGAGTTGTTCGAGAGTTGGTGACGCAAATTAACTGTAGAGTTTACACTAAATTGAGAGAATAATCTTGTTTAGTATCATCAGGAATTGGGTCTAGTTTACGTTCATTCTGGTGAAGTCATTCAGTTTGTTAATA